GAGATATGGGTTGAAAGYTATAATATCAGTGCATTGGTGAAGTCCGAGAGGAATACCTTCAAAGTAATTGGTAAAAATAGTTGTTACTGATTGCATGCTGTAGCAATCTGTCAGCATGGTTTCATGCTGTAGCATTTTGACAGCATTGGTCGACTGGAAATAATTTTTACTTCTCACCCTAAAAGTCATACACCCTAGCTTGTTTTTTATCCTGTTATCTCCTGTTGTAGTTGTGTTAACTCTGTTCTAATCAAAGTCTTCGAATTCGCCTTCTGAAATCATTTCCTTAACTTTACTTCCTTTTAAACTTTTACTACGATCCCTGTGGACGATATCCGGTACTTGTACCACTTTTATTACTTGAAAGACGATATTGAGACTATTTGTATACTTGCTTTTGGTCCTAATTGTTGTTTGTGTCTGTGGTTTCACGGCCCATCAATTTAATATGATTATTGAACTTTTATAATTAACATGTACATTAGACAATTACACTGTCACGTAACCTTTTCATATACATATATTTTTTAATTTATTCTTCATCTATATATAACTCCTTATATATATGTTCAGTAACCGTGAGCGCGCGTGCACACACACACACACACATATATATAGAGCTTGGTTCAAATACTAACCAAAAAATTATATTCCACTTTTTCTTTATGTTCAAATGTAACTCATATATTAAATACAAGGGTAATTAGATAATTTGACATTTATGTAACTCCCAAATAATTAATTGGGAGTTACAAATCTAAAAAATCTAACTAATTGATCATGATGTAATATTGTATTTGATTTCATACGTGTTCATGATCATAATTTACAAATGATGTTCTCCATATAATGATATTGTTTTCGTAAGTGTAAAAGATTTTCATATCGTCCGAGTAATATGAATAAACATATTGTAAAACAGATCGACAACAATGGAAATGACAAAGTTAAAATCGTCTACGACTACATTCGGAATTCGAATTCCGGTAATGAAGAAAATGATCAAAACGTTCATATTTGTAAGTGATTAGCATGACATTTGAATTCGTTTAAATGAACACATATCAAAGGCAATAGATGTTCATATCGATACATATGCACAATCACATCACATGAATATGAACAGTATCTGTGATTCATGTGAACACAAGCTTCGTAGGTGGTCATGTACATACAACAGAATTGACTCCTAAATATACAGAAGATGTTCATATGGTTCACATGTTGATCATATGTCTAATATTTTTTGTTTGATGTGTTTTGAGGATATACACAAGTTGTTCATATGTCTGACAACTCGTGTATCAAAGATAGATTACTTTTTACCTAAATACCCTTTGATATTTTGTTCACATATGTTAATTTAAAATATTAATTTAATAATTAATTTTTAAATATCATTAAATCACAACCGTTTATTATTCAAATTAACGGCCAAGATCGGTTAACAAAGTTAACACGATAATCTTGGTTTGTATTTGAACCAGCCCTTATATATATCTATAATCCTAATAAATAAGTAACTTTAGGAACACGTGTCATGTTTTCGTGCGACAATTATTGATTTTTCTCGCCTAAACATGTATCTAGACACAATTTTCACTTACGGCCCCTAGACTTACAACATAACTCTGAAAAAATTCACGTCTGAATTTAACTCTTGAGAAAGAGATATGTCTCTTCACGTAATGCGTCGAGGCTCTGTCTCTTACTCCGAAGATGGCCTTCTGACTTGTAACTCTGAATAGTTTCCATCTTATTCTCTGGAAACTTTATTTATGCTTGTGTGCTTGAAGCCTGATTCCGTTCTTCATACAGAGCTTAACAGATGTTCTGCAAGTACTACGGGGTCATTCTGACCCTGCCTCCGTCCTTCATACAGAGCTTAACAGAGGTTCTGCAGGTGCTATGGGGTCATTCTGACCCTGCCTCCGTCCTTCATACAGAGCTTCATAGAGACTCTGTACTTGTCTTGATTAAGAGTTCTATCTCTGTATGTACTACCCAGAGCCTTTGATTCCCTTTGCTTGTCTCATACAGAGGTATACAAAGGCTCTGAATGTACTACGCAGCGCTGCATATTGGATCTACATTGTTCGTCTTCATTTAGAAGTTTTTCTGATCATCGAAGCACATGTCGTCCTTTGTATATGTAACATTTAATTTTCGAGTAAAAGCATCTTTATATAAAAAAAATTAATCGGACTTGTACCTTTGTCTAAGTTTATAAATTACCTCCGATTATTAATTCTTTATAAAATACATATCAGTTTCGCTTAATTTTTGTCATTAACCCGTGTAATACACGGGTCCGAATCTAGTATATATATGTGTGTGTGTGTGCAAATTGAAAAAATAATAATTGAATGTGATATACCTTAAGATTTAAGAAGTATGGATAACTTATACCAAATGATTGATGATGAAAAAGAAATTATAAGTAAACTAGATAAAACAACATATTTAAGGTTAGGATAATATTTTGATTTACCAAAGTATCAATCCAACCAACCCGACCAACCTGTATGGTTTTGGTTGAGTTGAGATTTTTCAAACCACAAACATTAGATTAGGTTGTTCAAATACTTATAATCCGATCAATCCAACCCATAAAGACTCCTAGATACTATGATAATGAAATTTTCTTACATTGAAAGTTAACCGTCGGACTCCAACCATGAAATTTTCTTACATTGCTATTATGCTCACCATAAATTAACCATGTGACTCCAACCATGATAGGAAGAGTAAGATTACCAACCAAAGAGTGGTGCCTGATTGGTTTGAGCTTGGCTCCAGAGGTCAAAAGTACAAGGAGGTCCCAGGTTCAAATCCAAGGAGAAATGAAAATCCCATTGTGGCCACAGAGGTTCAAATGCAATGACTTCGGGCTATCTGCAAAACAGGTGGTCGCCCTGGGATTAGTCGGCTTGCATAGCGGGTTAAATATCCAGGTTAATAAAAAAAGAGAGAGTAAGATTACCAAATACCAATAGGATCTATACCCATGTGCTACATGCAATTCTTTTCTAAAACAACAATACTCAAACATCATTATGACAACCATAACCACATTAGAGTTATACCAAGGAATCTAGGTTCGAGACTGGGTTTGGAACCGAGCCAAGCCTAATAATGAACTAGTTAAATCTGACTTAAATCAATTATAGTTGTTTATTTGAGTGATGGACCAATCTGATTTAAATCCTATCTTAAACTTAGTTTTTTTTTAAGTATATAATATTTATGTATGACAAATGCAACAAATAAACTTACACACCCTCCTTACATTTGGTGAAGTTTGAACCCTTGATTTCCTAGGAGGCCAAATGCTACGATATCACTAGAACAAAGACCATTTGATATCTTAAACTTAGAACAAATCCAAGGAGGAATAAAAATCCCATTATAGCCATGAAGGTTCAAATGCGATGACTCCAGGTTACCCGTAAAACATGTGGTTGTCCTGGAATTAGTCGGCTTACATAGCGGGTTAAATATCCAAGTTAATAAAAAATGTTTCTCTAATCAATTTCAATGTAAAATCTCATTTTCTTGTTACAATGTTATACATTTATACTACAAACTTTGACAAAAATATAGTACACGCATTTAATTATGATTATTATTAAAAATTAAATTAAAAGGGTTGTTTGTTTACCTCTTAATAGTTCCATTAAGAGACAGTCTCTGAATCGCTAAGAGGTGAATCTTGTTTGACAAAAAAAAGATCTATCTCTTAATGGTTCTAAAACTTTCTGAATGATTTTGTATCATGGGTCTCCCTTAACCATTTAGCACCCAAATTCCATTGTAAACAATTATCGAACAATTATATTTCATTTTGCATTATATTACGAGAGCCTCTTAATCATTCTGACTAAGGGGCTGTTTGTTTCCCTCTTAATGGTGACATTAAGAGGGAGCCTCTTAATCGGTCAGAGGTTTGGAGTGTTTGGCACAAAATATGAAACCTCTTAATGGTTACATATACCTCTTAACCATTTTGTGTCAAACCCTTCACTCAACCATTCAGATCTAAACTTTTCCAGATTT